AAGGTTGTCTCTCATCAGCATTGAGATGAAGAGGGAATGGCTTTGGGATAAGGAGATGGGACAACTTTGGGATAAAAATCTTTAAAAGATGATCCTGGACACTACAAAGTGGTGTTGGTCTGGACTGGGGTCACAGGCCTTGGGAAATTCTCGTGAGAACTGGTGGCTGCCCTGGAGTAAAAAGCTTTTCCTTGCAGGGTCACTGCTCCAAGATGTGCTCCAGACAAAGTGGGTGCCACGGCTGTGGCTGCTGCTGCTGCTGTCGGGGCAGTTACCAGTCCCAGGGCTCCTCCAGCGGGGGAGGAGGTGGATCCTGCTGCGGTGGAGGATCCTCCGGAGGATCGGCCCAGAAGATCATTATCAGCTCTGGCGGTGGAGGAGGAGGAGGAGGCTCCTCCGGATGCTGCGGAGGGGGATCTGGTGGCGGTTCCTCAAAGAGCATGATGGGAGGTGGAGGCAGTGGAGGATCCTCCGGATGCTGCGGTGGAGGATCCGGTGGTGGATCTTCAAAGAGCATGATGGGAGGTAGTGGAGGATCCTCTGGATGCTGCGGTGGAGGATCCAGTGGTGGCTCTTCTGGGATGAAGATCATAATGGGAGGTGGAGGAGGTGGTGGATCCTCTGGATGCTGCGGTGGCGGATCCGGTGGTGGCTCCTCAAAGAGCATGATGGGAGGTGGAGGCGGTGGTGGATCCTCTGGATGCTGCGGAGGAGGATCCGGTGGTGGCTCTTCTGGGATGAAGATCGTAATGGGAGGTGGAGGAGGTGGTGGATCCTCTGGATGCTGCGGTGGCGGATCCGGCGGTGGATCTTCAAAGAGCATGATGGGAGGGAGTGGAGGATCCTCTGGATGCTGCGGTGGTGGATCCGGTGGTGGCAGTGGGGGATCGGCCCAGAAGATCATCGCATTGAGATGAAGAGGGAATGGCTTTGGGATAAGGAGATGGGACAACTTTGGGATAAAAATCTTTAAAAGATGATCCTGGACACTACAAAGTGGTGTTGGTCTGGACTGGGGTCACAGGCCTTGGGAAATTCTCGTGAGAACTGGTGGCTGCCCTGGAGTAAAAAGCTTTTCCTTGCAGGGTCACTGCTCCAAGATGTGCTCCAGACAAAGTGGGTGCCACGGCTGTGGCTGCTGCTGCTGCTGTCGGGGCAGTTACCAGTCCCAGGGCTCCTCCAGCGGGGGAGGAGGCGGATCCTGCTGCGGTGGAGGATCCTCCGGAGGATCGGCCCAGAAGATCATTATCAGCTCTGGCGGTGGAGGAGGAGGAGGAGGCTCCTCCGGATGCTGCGGAGGGGGATCTGGTGGCGGTTCCTCAAAGAGCATGATGGGAGGTGGAGGCGGTGGAGGATCCTCCGGATGCTGCGGTGGAGGATCCGGTGGTGGATCTTCAAAGAGCATGATGGGAGGTGGAGGCGGTGGCGGATCCTCCGGATGCTGCGGAGGGGGATCGGGTGGTGGCTCTTCAGGAGGGAAGATCATCATGGGAGGCGGAGGCGGTGGCGGATCCTCCGGATGCTGCGGTGGTGGATCCAGTGGCGGTTCCTCGGGCCAGACCATCATCATCAGCTCTGGAGGTGGCGGCGGAGGCTCCTCCCAGCAGAAATGTCCTGTTGTCATCCCCAGCGTGGTGTCCCACCAGACCAAGCAGAGCTCCCACTGGCCCTGCCAGCAGAAGTAGCCCTGGGCAGCTCTGGTTCTCATCGGGAACAGCCGAGTCTTTGCCCTCCAAGTCTGCCCCCAGCACATCCCCGTCCCTTGTGTTCCCTTGGTGCTGCATCCCTGTGCTGTGAACTCCCAGGTGGCTCCTCTGTGCCATAAATGTGACGGGAAATAAAGATTTCTGTGCACGGACAGAACTGGTTTGTGAGGTTGCTTTTCTCCTTTGTCAGTTTGCTTCCCAAAAAATGAGTAAAACACCCAAAACATTCTGCTGGGAAATGTTCTCCAGCCTCTAGTGTTGGAGCAGGCACTCATCAACAGATCTTTCCTATATCCACAAACTAATTGTCCCCTCTTTCATCCTGAACCCATTCCCTGTGTCCTGTCCCTGCAGTTCCTGAGGAAAAGTCCCTCTCCAGCTTCACTGGAACCCCTGCAGGTCCTGGGAGGGGCTCTGGGGTCTCCACACAACTTCCTCTCCTCCAGGCCGAACATTCCCAGCCCTCCCAGCCTGGCTCCATAGGGGAGGGGCTCCTGTTATCAACTTCATGGCCTCCTCTGGACTTGCTCCAACAATTCCACGTCTTTCTTATGTTGGGGACACCAGAACTGGACACAGCATTCCCAGTGGGATTTTACCAGAGCAGAAAAATCCCTCCCTCACCATCCTGCCCACTCTCCTTTGGATGCAGCCCAGAGACAGTTGGCTTTCCTCTCAAAGCTGGAAAATCCTCTTTAAAAGGACTCCCAAAGTCCTCTTTGGAACTGGTGGGATTAGTCTTGAGTCCAGGAAACTTTAAGCCCTTTTTGTTCAACTCACAAACACACCTGGTAGGGAGGAAACAAAATTAGGGATTACAGGGATCATCAGCCATGAAACTCTTGAGGGATCACGACTGACAGATTCCTGCTTTTTGTAGAAAACTAAAGAGTTCTTCTCCAGGATTGTGCCCCACATTCTCAGCATCACAATGTGTGAGGGAATCTGGTGGGAAAAGGGATCCAGGGTGCTGTAGGATCTGGCCAGGGATTTGTCCTCTCTCATATCAACCACCCACCGAGGTGTTTGCCGTGAGGAGATGAAGAGGCACCATGACCTGCCAGCCCTTCCCAAGGGCTCCAGGACTGCAGGGAAAAGGGCCCAGCAGAGCATCACAAAACTGAGAACGTGGCCCCGAAGCCTTTTACATCCCCATTTCCCTTTACCCAACACAGGTATCCAAAATCTACCTCCCTAATCTGGAGAGGATGTGGTAGTGACAACCTTGTGCTCCAGCCATGCTTTTCCTACATCTCTGGCAAACAAATCCATGGGCTACAGGTCCAGTGCTTCCAGGGGTCCCATCCTGGGCTCTCCACACTCTGTGGTTTGCAGGAGCTCCTCTCACCACCCCTCCAAAAACCTCCACGGCTTTTCCTCATGCCTGGGTCAGGACGAGCTGCTCATGCTGGGTGTCCCTCTGTGCCAATGAGCTGCTAATCCTGAGTCTGGCTAGTCCTAAATCCTAATCTGGGCAAGTCCCTACAGGCTGAAGGCACGGAAGGGATCAAGGTGTTGAGATCCTCAGGAGTACAACACCCACACATCAGAGCTGGGAGCCAGAACAGCGGTGACACCTCAGATCTGGAGATGAGAACAGAGATAAGGCCACGGGAGGAACTCCAAAGCTGAACAAAGGAAGCCCCTGCACGTGTGTCCCTGCCGCTGGTGGCCCTGTCCCCATCCCAAAGGCGTTGCATGTGCGTGTTCAAAGTCACGTTTGTGGTGACAACTGGGACCTGCTGCTGCTGTCACTTGTCCCCACAGCCAAAACCCCTATTAGTCCTTCCTCTACTCAGTGTCCCGAGAGGGCGGATGCTGCTGTCAGGCTCCAAACACGCGTGACACAGAGCTGGTGCTGGGACAGCTGTGCTGACAAACTGTCATCCTCCAGTAGGGAACGCATCCAGGTGACTCCCCTGCTCAGGTGTGGGTGGGGTGGCCACTGAAGACCCTCAGAAATGGATCCTGTTGAGGTAGAAGGGGGGTTTAACGTCTTGGTGTTCAAGGGTCACGTCTTGATGGCCTTCAAGTGCAACTTTGAAAACAGGAGGATTCTAAGGCTTTCCCTGTTCCAGTCTGGAGACTGAGACCCCTGGAAGCTGGAACCGAGCACAGACATCCGTGGAAATCCAACAGCCACTTCCACCTTGGTGTCACAAAAGACTGGAGGGAAAATCCCTTTTGTCACTATCACCCTCACATCATCCTCTGACACAGATCTGGGCAGCTCCAAAGGAGGGAACTCCTTGGGGTGGCACCTCTGGCCTTTCCCAGCAGGATGGACGTGCTCCTGCTCCCCGTCTTGCCAGTCCTTGAGGGAATTCTCCAAAATTCTCTGTGATTCTGCTCAAGCACATCCTTTATCCTGGTCCTTCCATCACTCTCTGTCTCCAACTCACTCCAGTCCCCATTGCTGGGCATCTGCTCAGTCCCCACTCTGTCCTGAGCACCCAGGAAGCTCCATCCCAGCAGAAACATGTTGGGCCCTCCCCAAAACAGACCCCCAGATGTCGTTTGTCCCAAAAACTCGGAGCGAGGCTCCCGGAAGAGAATCATTAAGCCGAATTAGCGACTGCGATACAGAACGGGGCTGATGCGCCTCCTTCGCATCACCTCTGCTGCAAGTGAGTCAAGGAAGGAGGCAGCTGAGGCCAAGCTCTGTCAATAAATCTCTCAGCATTCCTCAGGGTGTCTCACTTCCCTCGGGAGCGCGATGCAGCCAGTATAAAAGCTCAGCTATCCCAGGGCTCCTCACTCAACCCACACCGAGCATCGCGACGTTCCCACCAGCACTCAAGGTAAGCCCGTGGATACGGAAACTTCTGGAACCTTTACGCAGGGAGATCCCTCCACCAGTTTGTCTTTGGGTGTTCTTTGAACTGTGGTGGCTCCACCAAAAAGCAAGTGGAGGTGCCAACAGAACTCCCTTCCTTAGACAGGGGCGTTGCAGGTGGAACCCTGAAAGCTGAACTTTCAGCTGCTGAGTCAGTGTGAGACATCCAGAAGGATCCACACCATTTTTTAGGCGTGTCAGAGCATGTGTGCAAACCTCGGGAAGTGTTCCCAACCTTCCTGCACACAGAGGGTTCCCAGAACTGTTTTGACCTGCAGAGAGCTCCCTGGGATGTCACGGCAGGTCTCAGGGTGGGAGTTCAAAGTAGGGCTGCAGAAGATGGGACAAAATGGGGCAAGTCCTGGGAACTCCTTTCTTTGTCTGCTGGGAAGGCTCAGCTGCATCTCCAAGATTCTCCTTTCTGACAGCCCCGTTCCTTGCAGGGTCACTGCTCCAAGATGTGTTCCAGACAAAGCTCCGGAGGCTGCCATGGGATGTCCTCCCAGTCCAGCGGGTGCCACAGCGGAGGCTCCAGTTACCAGTCCCAAGGCTCCTCCTGCTGCGGGGGCGGAGGGGGCTCCGGCAAAATCATCATCAGCTCTGGTGGTGGAGGAGGGGGATCCTGCTGCAGTGGGGGCTCCTCTGGATATGGGATAGGAGGGGGATACGGTGGTGGCTCGTCAGGATCAAAGAGCATCATTGGAGGGGGAAGCAGTGGAGGTTCCTCTGGATGCTGCAGTGGGGGCAGCTATGGGATGGGTGGAGGATATGGTGGATCCTCGGGATCAAAGAGCATCATTGTAGGGGGAGGTACCTGCAACTTTGAAAACAGGAGGATTCTAAGGCTTTCCCTGTTCCAGTCTGGAGACTGAGACCCCTGGAAGCTGGAACCGAGCACAGACATCCGTGGAAATCCAACAGCCACTTCCACCTTGGTGTCACAAAAGACTGGAGGGAAAATCCCTTTTGTCACTATCACCCTCACATCATCCTCTGACACAGATCTGGGCAGCTCCAAAGGAGGGAACTCCTTGGGGTGGCACCTCTGGCCTTTCCCAGCAGGATGGACGTGCTCCTGCTCCCCGTCTTGCCAGTCCTTGAGGGAATTCTCCAAAATTCTCTGTGATTCTGCTCAAGCACATCCTTTATCCTGGTCCTTCCATCACTCTCTGTCTCCAACTCACTCCAGTCCCCATTGCTGGGCATCTGCTCAGTCCCCACTCTGTCCTGAGCACCCAGGAAGCTCCATCCCAGCAGAAACATGTTGGGCCCTCCCCAAAACAGACCCCCAGATGTCGTTTGTCCCAAAAACTCGGAGCGAGGCTCCCGGAAGAGAATCATTAAGCCGAATTAGCGACTGCGATACAGAACGGGGCTGATGCGCCTCCTTCGCATCACCTCTGCTGCAAGTGAGTCAAGGAAGGAGGCAGCTGAGGCCAAGCTCTGTCAATAAATCTCTCAGCATTCCTCAGGGTGTCTCACTTCCCTCGGGAGCGCGATGCAGCCAGTATAAAAGCTCAGCTATCCCAGGGCTCCTCACTCAACCCACACCGAGCATCGCGACGTTCCCACCAGCACTCAAGGTAAGCCCGTGGATACGGAAACTTCTGGAACCTTTACGCAGGGAGATCCCTCCACCAGTTTGTCTTTGGGTGTTCTTTGAACTGTGGTGGCTCCACCAAAAAGCAAGTGGAGGTGCCAACAGAACTCCCTTCCTTAGACAGGGGCGTTGCAGGTGGAACCCTGAAAGCTGAACTTTCAGCTGCTGAGTCAGTGTGAGACATCCAGAAGGATCCACACCATTTTTTAGGCGTGTCAGAGCATGTGTGCAAACCTCGGGAAGTGTTCCCAACCTTCCTGCACACAGAGGGTTCCCAGAACTGTTTTGACCTGCAGAGAGCTCCCTGGGATGTCACGGCAGGTCTCAGGGTGGGAGTTCAAAGTAGGGCTGCAGAAGATGGGACAAAATGGGGCAAGTCCTGGGAACTCCTTTCTTTGTCTGCTGGGAAGGCTCAGCTGCATCTCCAAGATTCTCCTTTCTGACAGCCCCGTTCCTTGCAGGGTCACTGCTCCAAGATGTGTTCCAGACAAAGCTCCGGAGGCTGCCATGGGATGTCCTCCCAGTCCAGCGGGTGCCACAGCGGAGGCTCCAGTTACCAGTCCCAAGGCTCCTCCTGCTGCGGGGGCGGAGGGGGCTCCGGCAAAATCATCATCAGCTCTGGTGGTGGAGGAGGGGGATCCTGCTGCAGTGGGGGCTCCTCTGGATATGGGATAGGAGGGGGATACGGTGGTGGCTCGTCAGGATCAAAGAGCATCATTGGAGGGGGAAGCAGTGGAGGTTCCTCTGGATGCTGCAGTGGGGGCAGCTATGGGATGGGTGGAGGATATGGTGGATCCTCGGGATCAAAGAGCATCATTGTAGGGGGAGGTTCCTCTGGATGCTGCAGTGGGGGCTCCTCCAGCTATGGGATGGGTGGAGGATATGGTGGATCTTCGGGGTCAAAGAGCATCATTGGAGGTGGAAGCAGTGGAGGTTCCTCTGGATGCTGCAGTGGGGGCAGCTATGGGATGGGTGGAGGATATGGTGGATCCTCGGGATCAAAGAGCATCATTGTAGGGGGAGGTAGTGGAGGTTCCTCTGGTTACTGTGGTGGAGGATCTTCAGGATATGGCATGGGTGGAGAATGTGGTGGTGTGTCTTCAGGAACCAAGATCATATTGGGAGAGGGAAGCAGCGGAGGTTCCTCTGGATGCTGCGGTGGAGGATCCAGCTATGGGATGGGTGGAGGATACGGTGGATCCTCGGGATCAAAGAGCATCATTGTAGGGGGAGGTAGTGGAGGTTCCTCTGGTTACTGTGGTGGAGGATCTTCAGGATACGGCATGGGAGGAGGGTACGGTGGTGGCTATTCAGGAGGGAAGACCATCATTGGAGGAGGAAGCAGTGGTGGATCCTCCGGATGCTATGGCGGAGGATCCAGCTATGGGATGGGAGGAGGATGCAGCAGCGGCTCCTCAGGCCAGACCATCATCATCAGCTCTGGAGGTGGCGGCGGAGGCTCCTCGCAGCAGAAATGCCCCATTGTCATCCCCAGCGTGGTGTCCCACCAGACCAAGCAGAGCTCCTACTGGCCCTACGGCCAGCAGAAGTAACAGCCCTGGGCAGCTCCGGTTCTGAGTCCCTGCCACGCTCCTCTTTGCCTGGCTCTGCTGCCTGGTCCTTCCCAGCGTGTCCTCTCCTGTTCCCTGGACGCTGCACCCTCGTGTGAGATCTCCAGGATTGCCCTGCTGTGCCCTGCTCCTGGTGTTGGGGTGCCTTTGATAATGTTCTGCCACTTTTGACACCCAATAAATGTTATAATTGCTCAAAATCTTCCCCTTTTTTGGGAGTTCATTTCTTTCTTGCACTACCAACCTGCACTTCGTGGTCTTGGGATGTAGAAATGTCTCTGATGAGATGTTTCACTCCAAAGCCAGCCAGTTTATTGTCCCAGAGGTTTTTCACCTTCATTTTCCACCTGGGCTCTGTGAGGGAGGAACAGAAGACCCCAAAATTTGAAGGAACCACAGCACCAACACCCTTTGGTGCTTGGGCATGGTGCAGGCCCCCTCTGTGTCCTCTGAGGTGCCAGCACACAATGACCACCTCTGTGGATCTGATGGGAGATGTGACCAGGCCCACCAGGCTCAGTTGGGAAGAGCAGGGATTGAGGATGACCCAACAGCAGCTGGTGATGCCCCAGGTGGGCAATAAAACACGCATGACAACATCCACAGCCTTGCCATCCTCCCTCTTCCTGCAGCAAGCTGAGGGAACACCCTCAGCTGCACCAGGGGGGGCTCAGGGTGGACACCAGGAGGAATTTCCTCATGGAAAGGGTGGTCAGGACTTGGATGGGGCTGCCCAGGGAGGTTTGGAGTCCCCATCCCTGAAGGAGTCCAAGGAAGGACTGGATGTGGCACTCAGTGCTCTGGGCTGGCTGACAAAGCCGGGACAGGCTGGACTTGATGGTCTGGGAGGGCTTTTCCAACCTCAGGGATTCTGGAATTCCATGATCTGTACCCAGAGGGAAGCCTGACCTGCCAACCAGCCAACCCAGACCCGGGCCGGGCAGGCGGGAATAAAACCAGCATCAAATCCCTCAGGCACCTCCAAATCTTCCTCCGGGACTCAAATCCCCCCCTCCCCAGGCTTTGCACCCTGCCCTGGCAGCCGCCCCTCCCCACGCACGGATTTCTGCCCGGGGATGGGGCTTTGGCCAAAACTGGGACTTTTTGTCCCCACAGCAGAACTCCCCGGAGCTGGTCCAGCTTCCAGGAGCTGCTCTGCGGGGGCCGGGCTGGGGCAGCCGGGGTCTGCGACCCCCACCAGGCCCCGCTGCTCTTTCCAAACCAGATGAAGATGAAAAAGAAGGAAGGGAGGGATGTGGAGGCATAATCCTTCATTAAAGCGTAATCCAGCCAGGCTGGGTTTAACCATCGGGACATTCACACCTCCGCAAATTCTGCCTTTAAACTCTCTTTGGGCACCTCCGGCACCCTTGCAAAATTCCCGCTTAGCGCATCAATCACTTTGAACGGCCTTCTGGTTCACATGCAAATGTTTTCCTCGGAAAAAGTTCCCCCTGGAGCCACCGGGGAGGGATCAGGTTGTCACCAGAGCTTTGGGAGCTGTTCCTCCCCTGTGCCCCACTGTCCCCGCTCTCGCTGTGCGTTCTACACCCACACCCCCCACCCACCTCTCCCGGGGCTGGGGGCAGGAGGGTTCCTGTGTAGCCCAGGGCAGGGGCACAGGAATAGGCTCATTAGGCAGAAGTAACAATTACAGCAGCGAAATGAGCGGTGTGAAGGGAGATATGGATCGGGAGTCAAAGCAAACACTGAAATGGCAGTTTGGTAAATAAATCCTTCTCATTCCCGAGGGTGTCTCACTTCCCATACATGTTAAACGCCATATAAATGTCCCTGAGGCTGTTTAAGCTCCTCATTCAGTCGACCTTTACCTTCTAAATGTGTTTCCGATGGCTGAAGAGGGTAAGTCTGGGGTTTTTTTCTGGGATTTTATCCTTTCCTACTCAGGGGATGCAGCTCATTTGATACCTTGGCTCGTGCTGGCAGCAGGACCCCTCTGCCTTGGGCCAAATCCTCGGGATCTGGGTGGGCTCCAGCTCCCTTCTGGGTCCAATCCCTGCGGAGAAAGGTGAAATCAGGGCACCAGAGCGGGATGCAGAGGGATGAGCAGGGCAAAAACCCGGATGGGTCTGTGGTGGGGCCGGCACGTGGGGACTGCACAACCTCTGTGGGTTTGAATGTGTGGGTTTGAATTTTTATATTAATTAATAACAACCCTGAGCTGGACCTCAGAACGGCCGCGAGCCTCTGTGTCTGGGCCAATCACCTTCTATAAAAGAATTTTGGGGCTGCAGTAACAGAGCCAGGATGGAAACTTTTATTCATTGCTCTTGCAACAACTGAGGAACAGAAATGAGGATGATCCTCGGTGTTTTTGCAGCTCTGTGGACATGAAAATGAGTGGAGAAAGCCATGGCAGTTACTAGAGGGGAAAATAACACCTTTCAGATTTTATATTTCAGATTTTGAATTCAGAACATATTTCAGCTTTTGGATTCTCTGGAAATAGAGGCAGAAAGAGGAAAGCTATCCCAGGAAGAGCCCAGATATCCTTGGATTTGAAGGATAGGGGTTTGAAGCAAACTGGTCTAGCAGAAGGTTTCCCTTCCCATGGCAGGGGGTGGCATTGGATGAGCTTTAAGGTCTTTTCCAACCCAAACCACCCCACAATTCCACGATTCTCTAACATCTCACTTTCAAAGCCTGGAACTGCCCCAGTCCCTGACCACACCACTCGGCACCTCCCCACCTGCCCTGGCGCCAACACGAAGCAGAAACGGTGCAAATTTCGGGATGTTTTCCTTTCTTCTTCCAGCTTTACCACTATCTGCGGCGGAAATGCTCCCGGCGGAACCGGGGCTACAGCCGGGAGATCTCCCTGAGCCACCGCGGATTCTGCTCCGGGGCCTTCGCCAACCGCCACGGCCGCGCCTCCTTCTCCTACGACGGGGAAGGCTCCGTCACCTACAGCCGGCGACCCTCGTCCTGCCCGCCCCCGCCAGCGCCAGCCCCCTTCAGCATCTCAGGGAGGTTCTCGTGTGACACCGACGGGTCCCTCGTGGTGGCCAGTGGGGACTGTGGGGTCACGTCCGGCTGGGACCCCGTGGTGGGGACGGTCCCGGTCTACGGCTCCGGAGTGGGAATGGGGTACGGCAGCGAGGACGTGGGGCCGGTCATCAGCAGCGCAGGGGGAGGTGGAGGATCCATCTACCACGGAGGGAATTCGGGAATGGCCGAGGGAGCAGGGGCTGGGTATGGATACTCTGCACCCCTGAGTAACACCCTGAGCAGCGGGGGGGTCTCTGAGGGCTCAGGGTACTACGGTGGAGGGTATGGATATGGGGCGTATGGAACTGGGGCGTTCCCCGGCCCGGAGCTCGGCCCTGCGGGCGGGGGATGTACCCAGATGGTGCAGGAGAAATGCCCCGTGGTGGTCCCTGCCATCAAGAGCGAGCAGTGCAAGCAGAGCACCCACTGGCCCCCCATCCAGAAGAAGTGACTGCCCAGCAGCCTCTCCCACATCCCAAAAGTGCCCCTGGATGTGCCACGGTGGAATTTTCACCCCTGATGGTGCCACTACATCACAGAGCTCTGCATTCCTCACATGGGGCTGTGCTGACAATGGTCCTGCTGTTGGAGCTGCTGGAAGAAGGGGTTTGTGCTGTGGTGATGGGGAAAGATTCTTTTCTCCATCTCCTCTGGATCACGGGTTGGAAAATAAAACCTCACCGTCTGTGGGTATTTTCAATATTGGGATGATTTCTTTCATTTCTGGCTCCACTCAAAATGCAAATGGGTCCTCAAGGAACTTCCGCAACACAAAGCACCTTTTTCATATGTATTTTACACCTAATTTAAATGTAAATTTTATGTTAATGCAATTAAAACACATCACTGTCAACTGCCAGAGAAGTTCAGGCGGTGCCAGACTCTTCCCAGTGGTGCCCAATGACGGGACAAGGATAAACCAAACCCCAATTCCACCTCAGCAAGAGGGAGAATTTATTTCCATGGAAGTGGCAGAGCCCTGGAACAGCTGCCCAGGAAAGGAGTGGGGTCTCCCCTTCCAGAGACATCCCAAATCCACTTGGATATGTCCCTGTGCCCCCTCCTCTCTCAGGAGATCTCCAGAGATCCCTCCCAACTCCAACGACTCCAGAATCCTGGGATTCTGCTCTTAACCTGGCTCTTGCTGGAGCTGCTGTTCCCACCCCATGGAGCCCCCACGAGCCTCATTAAGGAGATCTGCCAATCTCCCGGGGGATTTCCGACTGATTATTATTTACTGTGTGACCTGGCAGTGAAAGGTTGTTTACCTGGCACCAGCTCCCAGCTCCTGCCCCGGAGATTGCCGGGGATGGCGAAACCCTGAGCACGTAGAACCTTGTGCATGAGGCAACTCCAAGGAGCTGCTTGGCTTCCTCCCCATAACCTGCTCATGGCATTTTTTGATAGGATCAGGCCCTAAATTAGGCACGGGGAGAGGACGGTTCCAGTGCTGGTTGGGACGTGAGGTTTGCCCAACATTTAATCTTCTCTGGGGTTGTTTGACTCATCCAAATACTCGTTAGGAAGGTTAAAAAAAAACACCCACAGATCTGGGTCCATTTAAAAGTGAGACATAAAATCACATTGTTTTTTTACCTTTTTTTTTCACCCACCTGGGGGGATTTTGACTTTTTCAACTCAATAAAAATCCAGAAAACTTTGCCCTGAAACACCAAAGACCCAAATCCTCTGAGCTCTAAACCCATGTTTGATGCCACAGGATCCTTCGCACATAAAGTGTCGTATCATCATGTGGGGACAATTACACAAGATTTTGTCACCAGCCCTATTAAATTCCATTCTAAAATTAGGCAGCGTTATCATTTATTTGCTTTTATTTCTATTTCTAAAATCCACCACTTCATTATTGATATTTCTGTGGGTTTCCTTCCTTCATTAAGGGAGCAAAAAATCTCTGAAAGCTCAAACAAAATTCCCAGAGAATTCAGAAAACCAAGCCCAGGTCTTCAAAT